TCTCTCTCTCTCTCTCTCTCTCTCTCTCTCTCTCTCTCTCTCTCTCTCTCACACTCTCACACACACACACACACACACACACACACACACACACAAACAAAAAAAAAGCACACATATAGTGGGAAAAAAAGAAATAGAGAAAAAATTGCTCCTCGTGGCGCTGCCACGCAGCGCTATTTCGGGCCTTCCACACTCCACCTTAGCCCTGCCCCATTCCCTATCTTTTCCCCATCCATGACATGTACGGCTATCCCTCCCGCTCTTCCACTTTGCCACTGTACCATCCTTACCCCTCGACTCTCCCTTCCCTCCCATGACATTGTGCCATGCGCCCCCTCCTCCTCTTCCTCCAACTCCACCCGCTCTCTGCGCCTCTTCAAATTCTTTCCTCCCCCCGCCCTACTGTGGATTCTGCTGCCCTTCTCTCCCCTTCTTTCCCCAATTCTCACGCGCCCCTCTTCATTCTCCTTCTCCCACCAATCCATTTGTGTGCCTCTCCACCTTCGCCTAATCTCTCTCTCTCTCTCTCTCTCTCTCTCTCTCTCTCTCTCTCTCTCTCTCTCTCTCTCTCTCTCTTTTTCCGCCTAAACTCTTCCCTTGCTCCGTACCTCACGCAACCTCTGCCCTCCCTCCTCCTTCCATCTGCCCTCCCCCCGCCCTACTTCACCCTGCCGTCTTTCCCCTTCCTCCCGGCCTCCTTCCACCTCCTCCTCTTCCTCTTCACGCTTTTGCCCATGCTCGTCTCCCCCTTACCTCTTCCCTCCCTTCATACGTTACTCAACCTCTAAACTACCTTCTGCTTTATGTCCTCCCTCCGCCCTAGTTCTCCCTGCCGCCTCCCTTTTCTCCCGGCCTCCTCTGGACCTTCTCTTAAAACCTCCCTCTGCCCTCCCTTCGCCTGGCCACCTCACTTCCCTTCCTTCGCCCAATCTCCGCCTGACCTCCTTCCCTCTATCTCCTCCGTCCTCCTTCCTCCGCCCGATTTGCACTAACCTCCTCCTTCCCCCAATCTCCTTCCTCCCCTTCCTTCCTTTCCCCGATCTCCACCTGATCTCCTGCTTCCGCCCTACTTTCTGCCGCCTTTCCCCCTGTCTCTTATACACATCTAGATGTGTATAAGAGACAGCACACACACACACATATGCATGCGTGCTCGCACAAACAGGTGTGTGGACATTCTCTCTATATATGTAAGACATAACTCTGGAGTAACACGAGGTTTTCAACACAGCCTGCAGCACATCTATAGAGTCCATACGCACCTGCTCTTCGCGCGGTGAGACAACGAAGATCAGAGAAGACTCGGAAGAGGCCATCGATCTATTTGTGCTATCTGAGATCCGAAGACTGAGTTGTGCGGCCTGTTCATGATCCACCCCGGTGGCTGCCCTAGCGTCAGGGTCGGCAAAGCAAAGTTCAATAGGACTTGTGTAGCGACCTCCTCCCCTTTCCCGCAGTGCACTGACCAGATCCATAGCCAGTCGTGCACCAGTGGATGGGGATTCGTCTGCGACTGGTATCTGTATCCGCAACCTGGGTTGCCGCAAATGTACCCCTTGCTTCTGCTTCCTCACGCCCTTGGCGCCCCCAATAATACCCATGCCCCCCACCCCACCCGAGCCTACAGTCTTACTGAGAGCTGACAAGATCGCAGTTACAGCCTGCTGCACACATTCCCCTTCACTGGCTGGCGGCTGGACTTCGTCGCTAGCAGATCTGTCTGCTGCTGCGACGACCTTTGCCGAGGCAACGACTCGTCGACTGCGCTGCCGCCGGTTTGTCACCAGGAGGGGCTTTGAGGAGTGCCCAGACCTCTGAGGAGGGGCTTTGCGGCAATTTCCCTCTAAAACAACTACACCCACTCGTGCCCCACAGAGATGCACAGGAACACGTCCAACCGTGGCACGGGTCCTGGGGGTGTTCCGGGATTGATAACGGAGAGCAGCAAAGACCGAGTGCAGACAGATGGCAGCAGGAGGCGGAGGCAAGCCCTTACGTAGCACATTGGTCACAGGTTTGGAGACCACAGGATACCAGGGCGAACGGCGGCTATTCACTGCCAGCACCTCCATTGGTGGCCTTGTCAGCTTGCCCATAGACAGTCCCACGTTTCCCACTGCTGAAGTCATGATTCCTGCCTTGGAGATACAGAGAGACCCTTACTGATTATTCCTTCCCTGTGAGAGTCAAGTTTCACATACAGAGACTCGCACTGGTCATTTTTGTACTCTGTTGTTTTGGACACAATTTTAGCCTTTTAAGGAGAAGATTGTACAGCTAAATTCCACCCCTCCCCTGTGCATTATGTTTCACAGACCAGGTGCAATGCACCGAAGCGAACTAGAAGACTCACTCACAGAGCAAACAAAGCACTGACCTGTACAGCTCCCAGAAACAGCTATTGAGGAATGGAGCACAAGAGGCCCAAGGCCTGATTGATAAGCGGCCTTGCCTTGTTTGCTGATCGGTCGGCAATCGTTCCTCGGTTGGGCTGAAGGCTGCCGTTTCCGGGGGCAAGGTCCCACTTGAGCAAATTTTAGGAGATTTCGGCCGTTGATTTTTGCTATCTACCGTCAGTATCTCTTCATCCGTGCAAGTGGGACCTAGCCCCTGGACGTCCTTGCTACACGCTAACTGGGGCAATCGAGAGAGAGAGAGAGAAAGAAAGAGAAAACTGTACCATATTACACGCCGATTTGATCTTCTGAGTCTGAGATCGCAGCACGCAGCAGCCATACTAATGACCGTTGGAGGCCCATTTTAAACCCATCAGCCCGACAACGTCCAAATTTCCCGCTCAAATGTTCCTAGACCGAGGGGAAAAAAAAGACACGTCCAAATTTCCCGCTCAAATGTTCCGAGACCGAGGGGAAAAAAAGACACGTCCAAAATTTCCCGCTCAAATGTTCCGAGACCGAGGGGGGGAAAAAAAGACACGTCCAAATTTCCCCCTCAAATGTTCCGAGATCGAGGAAAAAAAAAAGACACGTCCCGCTCAAATGTTCCGAGACCGAGGAAAAAACATAGACACGTCCAAATTTCCCGCTCAAATGTTCCGAGACCGAGGGAAAAAAAAGGTCCAAAATGTGTCTGGTCAAATGTTCGGACACGTGGTTAGGACCCAGTACAGGTGCACAGAGAGAGAGAGGGAGAGAGAGAGAGAGAGAAAGACAGAGAGAGAGAGAGAGAGAGAGAGAGAGA